TGCAGCTGCTGCTGCTGCTGCTGCAGCAGCACTACTCTGCCGCCGTCTGTGGGAACGGCGATGAGGGGGCCCTCGGATGTAGGAGAAGTTGCTGCTGCAGCAGCTGCTGCTGCAGAAGGAGCTGCTGCGGATTTCTTGCTGCTTCTGCTGCTTTTGCTGTTGCTTCTGCTGCTGCGCAGCAGCTGCTGCAGCACAGCAGCAGGAGGCTGCCATACGTCAAAGTCGTTTATGTCCCAATCGCCGTCTGCTTCCTCCTTCTCTTCTGCTGCTGCTGCTGCTGTTGCAGCAGCTGCTGCTGCTGCTGCTGATTCTCCGGAACAAAGAGCCCTCAAGTCTATCACCGAGGGCGTAATCCCAGCAGCACTAGCCTCAAGCCCCTCTTGCTGCTGCTGCTGCTGTTCTTGCTGCTGCTGCTGTTGCTGCTGCTGCTGCTGTTCTTGCTGCTGCTGTTGTTCTTGCTGCTGCTGCTGCTGGCCTTGCTGCAGCTGCTGCTGCTGAAGGGGCCGCAGCGTGTGCCGCAGGTCGAAGGTAAGGAGCTTGCTGCCGCAAGCAGCAACAACAGCAACAGCAGCAGCAGCAGCAGCAGCAGCAAACTTTGCTGCTCCCACAGCGCCGGGGGCCCCCCAAGGGTCTAATGAGAGACAGAGGGGCCCCTTTTGCTGCCGCAGGTCCCACAGGCGGACTGTGCGGTCTTCGCTGCAGCTCAGCAGCAAACAGCTGCTGCTGCTGCTGCTGCTGCTGCTGCTGTGGGCGCAGCTGCTGGGGGCAGCCGCTGATGCAGACGGGAGGGCTGCAGGCGAGCAGCAGCAGCAGCAGCAGCAGCAACAGCAGCTAGCTGCAGCAGCAAAGGGAGTGTACAAGTCGAGGGAGACCACGGAGTCCCGGTGACCCTGCAACAGACGGATCCCCTCCATCCTAAACCCTTAACCCTAAACCCTAAACCCTAATCCCTAAACCCTAAACCCTAGTTCTCGGTAAAAGGTCCTCAGCAGGAAGTGCTCGAGATATGGGCTTATACCCTTAAAAGCAAAACAAGCGCAGCTATGTTTGCTGCTG